GAAGAGAGACGCTGTAGGGATCTTCTCTGGATCTTGATTTGGACCCATCAATGGTTAAATAAGGCTTGCCAGACAATCAAGGGCATTTGAACACGGATTGGGAATTTAATGACATTAAAGAGTTATGGTTAATTTTTTTTAGGCGCTCTATGAGGCCGGAGGAGGCGTGCTCTCCTCAGTGCGTGCAGGAAATGCCACGGTCCTAGGCTCATCCTGTCCCCGTGTGTCAAGGCCAGGAGGCCCGGCCACAGACCAGAGGTTTCTGCCCTGGGCCAGGGGAGCACACCTCGAGAGGCAATGGGGTGAGATGGGCGTGGGCTGTCCAGATGGGCAGCCAGGCGTCTCTCTGTTGGCGTCATGGAACCATCCGGATTCCCAACAACTAGGGGACACCCTTTACCATGAGCACAGTTGAAAAAAGGGCCCCAGGAAGCCTCCCAAACCAGGTAGGCATCATTTGCAATACAAAAACAACAGCGTCTGCTTTCTCACTGCAAGCACGGGGCTGAGAAGAGAGGCCAAGGAAGAAAGACAGCGTGGAGAAGGGTCTGGTTCTGAAAGAGGGGCAGAGGGGAGGTAGAACCCAGGGCACAGATGGTGGGCCAAGTCTACCTGTGAGTAGAAAGTATGCGGGACACCCTTGCCTTGTTTTCTTGTTGCTTAGTTCAAAGAGGATGGTGGGGGAAATTACTTGTTCTTTTGATCTCTATAAATCAAAGTATAAACTCTGTGCCAAAATAATTTAACAGCTGTGCCCTTTTTTCTTAAAATTATTAGTTCTGAAAACAGAAAACACAAAAAGTAGAAAAATATCCAAATGTTACCTTACGAACCAAACCAAATATTTCTTCATTAAAAAAAAAAAAGGCAACCTAACAATAACAAAAAACTATACGAAAATATAAATGACATGGACACATTTTTTTCTCCCTCCTTGATAACCTAAATTTGGGAGGAGCTCAGAGGCAGTCTTCAGAAACCTTTGATAACAAAAAACGGAGGGATGTTAACTGAATGTGCAGGAACTTCTGAACGCAACAGAGTCGGGGGGAATAAAAAACAAAAACCAACACACAAAAAAAGACATTTATACTTTAGGATAATTTAGGATAAGGTGGCCAGTTACACAGGCAATGCAACTTTGCGTAGGGTGCCCACCGCGGCAATATAATGAAATTGTGAACATTTCTAAGGGAAATTTTGCAGATGTTTCTTTTAAGGACTTAACGAGAACTAGAGTTTAAAGAACTAAGTGTAAAAAAATAAATAAATAAATAAAAGCAACCCTAGATTTTCAAAATGAAATTTTTAAAGAGAAAAGACCAGAGTTAGCGAGTTATGCCATCCTGATCACTGCCTTAAAATAAGGCATGCTGTATCATGAAATGTTTGAGGGGTCCGTATAAAAATTTTACCTTTGTAATGAATAATGCAAGAAACAGAGGGCTACAAGACCCGGACAAGGCTTCTGGGAGCTGGTGGAGGGCTGGAAAATAATTGTGATGTTTGTTTGAGTGTGTGGGAGGATCATACAAGTAATCTGTAAGAGGAGACAAGCAAATATAACCATATGCAAGAAAAAGTTAGTAGCCTGAATTAAAGCTTTCCTTAACTGAGACAACCATTCCCTTCCACGTTAGCGGAGTGAAATTATCATCCCCCAAGGCAAACTTCTCCTATGATATGTTAGGCTGCTTTATAGTAATGAACCCAAGCATGGACGAGAACGGCGAGAGCCCTTTTTCCTGCTACACCTATAGGAAGTTTGAGAAGGCCCCAAATCGGACTGAGGCAAAACAGGTCTGCTCTTTGTTTTGATTCACCCTTTTTGGGATAAAATAGGCATGTGTCTATGCAGAGAAAGGGGGCTACACCGGAAACTGAGAATTTTCAGAATTAAGAAAAGGGCTTCAAAGAATGACAAGATAAGAGGAAATAAGGTTTTCAGGTGGAAACCAATTTAAAAGAAAAAAAAAAAAACCCACAAAACTTTCCAGATGTCTCTTCTGCACCAAACCCAGTTATCTTTCAACATCTCTCAGATAAGGCATCAAAAATAAAATAGATAAATAAATAAATACAATTTAAAAAATCTACAGTAGGATATCTGGAGTAAGGTAATTAAAAAAAATTGGTTCTCTAAATCTTGATTTCAGATATATAAAAAAAATGGGTGGCTCAGCAATGAGATTTCATCTTACCTGGGGTACTTCTAGTTCTTTTTAAACAGGGCTGTTTCTGACAAAAGTAACTCACTCTAAGTGACATCTGTAGAGGTGAAAATTCACCCTGGGGTAAAACATGCTCCTCCTGCAAGTAATTTACCTGTGGAACCTTCGGGGCAACTTTTTTAATGGCCACTGTCAAAATAACTTCTAAAGCCATATACAAAGGCTAAAAGACACTTCTGCCCCTCACCCCATATGCAGCGGTTTAATTTTACCGACAAACTGAACTTTTAAAATGTTTATATTTATCCCTAGACATTCATAAATGATAACGGTATGCTTAAAGGACAATTATTAGTTGTTCCATGGGGAAACTTGTATGGTTTTTCTCACCCACTGGTGTGGATCTTTCTTCTTTCCAAGCTAATGGTTCTGAAATATGGAATATGGGCCTGGGATGCAGGCCTGTTTCAGGACAGAGATGTAAAAATGAACGAATAAGTAACAATCACGCTCTATGCAAACCTTATGCTTCCACGGGAATTACTTCATGTTGGTTAATATTTCTAATGGGAATTATAACTAGAGCAGACAGAGGTCTGCTCATCCTAGCGAATATCAAGGGCTATATAACCCCTCCCAGCTAACCACTTTCTGAGTGGAGGAGGGGTGTGTGGCTCAATCCTTACTATTCTGAATGCAATAGCATTTACAGGTACAGATGATTTTCCAAATTAAATTACGCAGATGTCTGAACATAATTATGAGTTCCCAAAGCACGAGCCGTGCCTGCGCTCAGTGAAGAGCGCACCACCTTTCCTCGGCATTGAACTGCAACACCAACACGTTCAAACCAACAGCTGAGTTGAAATCCTCATGCTTTCTTGGTGAAATTCAAGTTAGCAAACCTATCGGATGAGAAATCAAATGATGACTCACATCTTATTCTTTTAGGTCTGCCAGAAAGGATAAAGTTATTTATCAAGACTTATCATAGCAGACGTGGTGGTTATCTTTCCACACCCACTGAAAGCGAAAATCAAATCCTGGACAACTGGTCGTGTTTGTGAAGTCGTGCTGTTTTACACGCCACACGAAAATGCTATTTGGACATATTAACACTACAAATGAGGCTTTCATAATATATATCAACGGATTTGGGAAGGGACAACTTCTCAGTTGTGAGAAGCCAGGATATTTACCACTGAACAAAAGTTTTAACACATAAGCACGCATTCGCAAGCGAAGAGTCTAAGAGATCTTTCGAAAAGGTTCCACGAACTCTGCAAATTAAAACGATAAACTGGGAATGAAAAGGCGCCAGAAAGAAAGGAATAAGGTGATCTGCCAAATGCTGGTTTTCAATTCACTTTCAAGCTGAAATCTTTGTCACTTTGATGAGAATATATTAAAAAAAAAAAATTGTTGCTAGCTCTGCTGTGTCAGCCCAAAGCTGCAGGAACACACGTCTTCCCCTGCATACACACGCGCACACACACTCTCACACTCACTCACTGACAGGGATTCCCAGGACACTGGGCCTCTTCTAGGCCCCTTAAGTGTTAACAGCACAGGCCTGGCTGCGACCAGGCGTCTGGCCCGATTTAAATGCCCTGTCTTCAGAAAACTGCGGTGAGCGTGGCCATAAAACTAGGGGACATAACTGAACCTTAGAGTGTCTAACACCCACCCCCCCCAACACACACAATTTTACTCCTACAATTAAGGCTGCTCGTTGGCATTCCATTTAACTGTCAAACTAGGACCGGTGGCAGCCCCACAGCCACAAGGGATGCCTTAAATGAGAAGAGCATGTTCCTACACCGCATTTGAGAAAGTTTGGCTCCGAGCTATGCACTGATTAATATCAGATCTCCTCCTTCCCTCGCCTCTCCACAATCTTGTCACATCTGGCTGACAAATCCGTAGGGGCTGATGCAAAGCCAGGCGGCCGGCGGGGCTGGGGTTTGGCGGGGGGCGCCCGAGGGGGCAGGGGACAGGAGGCGCCCCCATCCCACCCCCCTAGCCCCCAAGCCCCGGCCCTGGGAGCCGACCCGACGCGGCCCCCTTCCCGGCCGGAGTTCCAGCCCCGAGCGCGTAGGCCCGGGTGTCCCCGCGCCCCGGGCGGCGCCGGGCACTCGCAGGTAAATGAGCACGACGGAGGGGCCGGCCGCGGGCCGGTCCGGCTTCCACCCGCGCGCTCGGCGGCTGCAGCGCTGGCATTCCTGTGGCCGCGCACCCTCCGCGCCCTCGCGTCTCGGGGGGCTTTCGGAGCGACCCGTCCGCACCGCGCTCCGCAGCGCTTCACAAAAGATCCGGCGCCCCGGGCCCTACCACGCGCCCGTTCCGCAACTCTCAGACCGGAGGTTACCGCGCGCTTAGTTCTCCAGAAACAAAATCCGGGGAGAAAGACGGCCAGTTGTGAATAGCAGCTGTTCAAGCCCGTGCGAACGACCTCGGACTTTCACCGCAGGCGCCGGGGGGCCGGAAAGGGTGCGGGGGAGGCGCGCTCGCCGTGGCCGCCCGAGCCCGGAGTCCCGGCGGGAGGGCGCCCCGAGGCTCGCCCGGACTCCGCGCCTCGGAAGCGCCCAGGCCGTCCCGGGGGCGCCTGGAACCCGCCTGGTCCGCGCGCGCGCCTGCGGCTCAGGGACGTCGGGCGGCGACGGGTCCCGGCGCCCCAGGCCGCGCCGCCGCGCAGGTGGCCTCGGGAGGTTGGCCCGGGGCGCGCCCCCAGCTGCCGACAGAGCCCGGCCAGAGCTGCGCCCCCGACCACCCCCCGCCCCGCCCCGCGCGCAGAGGGGGCCCCCCGCGCCGGGGGAGAGCTGCGCTTACCTCGGCCATCCTGCGGCCGCTGCAGCGCCGGGACTACCGGCGCGTGTCCCCGGCCCGGGCCGCCCCGCGTCCGCCCCGGCTCGGCCGGCGCCGCCGCATCCAAGCTTCGGCCGTCGGGGCCCGCTGCGGCGAAGTGGGCGGCTCCCCGGGCGCCCCGGCCGCGCGGCGCGG